AACGAACCAACCAACGGAGAACCCATCGCCCAATAAATATGCAGAATATGAAGATGGAGTTGGATGGGATTGGATTGAATTGGGGATACACTGAGAAGACCATTCGGGGACATCACGCAACAGGCCAGGCCTGGCCAGGCCAGACCAGACTAGGTCCTTGAGTGGGAGCCAAATGGGAAATGACGAGTTGAGTGTCCGAGGCGAGGGTGACATGGAGTAGATGGTGTTGTGAAGAAATGAAAGGTTGTGGGTAGTCGTGGAGCCAGGTTCGGGAGGCTGGAGAGAACGGAGAGAGATGGATACGTGCTGCTGTAGCCCTGTGTAGCACTAGTAACTCAGTGGACGAATAATATGTAATAATAATATGCGGCACCAGTCCTTTCGAATTCGGCCAAGCTGTGCCTCTTTAACCTGTGTAGCTTGACAGCTTGGCTCCTGGCTACCTCAGGCAGCTTGGGGCACTTCGGCCTCGAGAGTTGGGCAGACCGGCTGGCTGCGTGCATGATCTTTTCAAGTACGAATTTCCAGTGTTTGTTCATATCCCGTCATGCATGCTCAACTTTGTTACCTGTTTGCTCCAGTGCGATCGGAGGAGCCGGTGTTTCAAATTGTCTGAAGTCCCAACGAAGCTGACTGAAAATTTAGATTGGTTTCGCAGATAAAGTGGAAGCCGACAACAACGTCGTCACTACTACTCAAAGAAGGAAGGATTGCTAAGTTGTCAAACACGAATTCTTCATTTCTGAAGATGCAGTCTGGGCGGGTTTGTGTTTGAATCGCCCTCGATCGTGTCGGCGTCCTCACACTTTCCGTGAGCTCCATCTCCCCAATCAGATGGAATAATCTGGCTATGTCGCTCCCACTAAAGTGTGGCCGGCGAAGTTAACCTCCAGTAGATTGAAGTCGTCTTAAATTAGTGTATGTCTCAGTTTAAGGGCCCAACTGATTGCTTCTGGAATATGGTCATGGTCATATGGTCATATGGTCAGCAGACAGCTTCGTATAAATGACTCCCATCAAGCACTTTATAGTCTTGGACAGCTTTGTGTTGGGTCAGATGAACTCCTCAGGGCACCGCAGTTCCTCAAAATAGATCTGGTGGGCTGGGAAAGAGAAGCTGACTTAAAGTGCTACGCCGCCCCCTACCGGCCTCTTTTTTTGCCACTTCCTGATTTGACATTTCAGGAGAAACTTATGTCTCAGTAACACCAATAAGGTGGGCATAAGTGTCCCTACTTAGTCCCCGCAGCTCGTTTATTATGTTCAGTAAACTGCGCACAGTTGTATAGATACAATTTATGCCATTTACTCTGAGTACACCGCCTGAACCCTCTTCGTTCTCGAGATGGCTGGCTGAATTTTAGAGGGCCTGGAGACGTGATTAACTGCTGTCTATCAGTGCAGCGTTCCCCCCTTCCCGCTTTTTGCACCTAAAAAGCCTTCCAGAGGTACAACCACTTCCAATTTTCTCTGCTTCTCAGCCTCTGTCTCTGCGACCTGTCAGGTTGGATGCGGACTCCAGATGGCAGGCTATTTTCGCTCACCCGGAGGGCCTCAGTGTGGCTGCTACCATTTGAGAGTCCGGAAAGACCACTTTGACCAGCCCTGGTCTGGGATCATCGTCTTTTTTGGGCACCCGTAAAACGCCTTGGACTATTACTCTCATGAGGTTCGTAGTATTCTCAGGGAACCCCGAATCGCGAAAATCGTAGTGAATGTCCTCGGTGCCAGGGTCTTCTTGTATGCCTCGCATAATTAGGTTTCTTCCTCTAAAGTAGGCGTCACGATTGTCGCCCAAGAGATTCTTTGGAGCCTTTCTCTCAGAGCATGGGATATCTGGCAGTATCCTTGCTTCCTCTGCAGCCTTTACCACGTGAGATGCCAAGAGCACATCTTCGACATCACCCAGGTTGGCGAATGTAAGGCCTAAAAGTCGATGCCTGTCCTAAGTTATTGGATCTGAACTGCGTCAGAGCTTGGTTGGAGCTACTGGTGTAATGTGGTTTAGCTCGAGTCTTCCGCGCATGTTCCCTCACAGAACCCTGTTGTTCTTGCCCTGAAGGCCGCACGTGGGATCAGGGCTACCTGTTAGGTTCACGCGACCAAAGAGTCGTTTCGGACAGGAGTCCGTTTTGTCAGCTGTTGACGCTTGCACATTTTCTGTTGAGATTTCGTCTCCTTCTTAACATTTCCCTCTCTCGCTGACAATTTATTTACTTCTTGGCAAGCTTGTGAGAAGCGTGCACGGTCTGCTGTCCATTCCATTACCTTGGAGGCTCAGGTTTGGCCCTTCGAATTTCCAGATTACCCCGCCCGAGCTTGTTCCTGGCGCTTCCCGCCTCCCCAGACCAAGTGGGCCTGACCAGAGTTGAAGTTCGACTGTTCTTATCTTGTGCAACGTATGTCCATTCCCTCATCTTGAGTGTCGTAGATCCTGTTTGTTTGAACCAGTCGATTTCTTCGCGCTCGCTCCTTGATCTTACGGAACGGTTCCACATCTTCGGCGGATTCCGTTGTAGTCGATCCGACCGCCAGTTTGCAATCGCTTCGGTATACATAACAGAAGGCTGAATGTTGGCCGGTTTGCCTGGGAGTGTGTTGCAGTCGGCCCCCTCAGGTATCGAGTTGCCAGACAGTTGGACGGACTGGTGGCAAGACAGAGTTAGGGATAGTGAAGAGATAACCTGGGATGATGAATATGTGTAAGTAAAAGACAAAGAAAGATGAAATGAAGGAATAGTCTACGTACACCCAAGGGAGACGAGAAGGCGCGAATTTATTTACTTATATTGCACATAACAATCAGTTCACATCACCAAACGATCAGACCCATAGACTGGTTTGTTTCCATGTAACTTATGTTGTATGAAATATATTTTCATTATCGTGTTGAACTTAGGGGTGTGAGATTAATTGATAGTGAGTGAGAGGGATGAAAAGGGCTTGAATGATTGGACTAGGAAGAAAACTAATGTAGAGATAATAGTGTCGGAATGGTGTAACAGAAGTTAATTTCTTCGGCCTAGTTCATATCCCAACCGGATGAGCGTAGGCCGTGGGTCACTGGGTTGCTGTCCAGCCTTTTCTTGAAACCTTTAGCAAACGGGACGGAATGCTGGCAATGCATTCGTGCCCGCAGGCTTGAGGGGAGGAGGAGTGTGGAAGCACACGAGTTTTTGAGCTGCGGTGGGTAATTCTCACAGGATCTCTTAAGGATCACCGTTGTGGCCACTCTAGAGTATTCCTTTATTTCGGGTAGCCTGTGTTATTTAGTATTTTGTAGGCCGTTATGAAATCACCCTCTAACCTTCGGTAACTAAGAGCGTATAGGCGTAGGTCTTTTATTCCACTCTTGTACGATTTTCTGTGCATCCCTACAACACAGCGGAGCATCGCTGTATGCCCGTGTATTGAAACTTCTTGTGGTAGTCGTTTGGTTGGACACTTGCATAACAATGACAAGTGAAGTCTTTCGTAGCCTTCCTACAGCGGCCTGCAGCTAGAAGTGTTCCTGCGCAACATTAAAGGCAGATGTACCAGAAAACGCGTGCGGATGGCTCACCATAAAAGCGTAACATTTGTCTGATACATTCTTATCACAGAGTCGCTGCATATATCCATTGTGACGGTTGCACTGTAAGGCTGAAATGCCGTTGACTGAAGTGGGGGGATATGTGTAAAAATCGTTGCTATTGACAGAAGGTTTGAACAGCTGTTGCAGGTGGAGTGGATTTGCGCTAGGTGTGTTGGCAAGATGTGGATTTCGCTGACTGAGGACAGAGATATTTGGATTTAACTTTTTAGGGGTGGTGGTATCCGTGGTCCTTGGACTGCGTTTGATGCAGATTATGACACAGGATGCTCTAAAGCAGTTTTCATACCCAATAGCTCCTCCCGTGGTTATAAATGACAAAGAGGCGGTCAGAAGCTGTAATAAATTCATCCGTGCAGTATATTCGGCGCCAGATTTCACCAACACACTGTTGCTAAGCATGACGGCAAGTAGACATAAAGGAAAAGAAGAGAGCAATCAGAGAATAATGTTTTCTTTTTCAACACTGTCGTTTTAAGTTGTAGAATCGTCATCATTTATATCACAAGCACGCGACGGTCTGGTATTCAACAAATGGGTTAGGTCATACCAGTAAGTTAGAGTCAGAACAAACATGAAGGCTGGAAACTAGTTGCGTGATGATCAGTCAGACAGCGCAAATGACAGGAAAGGCCAGGAGTTTGAAAAGATGGGGACCGCAGTGGATTTGAAAAACAATGAATGAGTAGGTAAGATGGTGTAACTGAGGGAAAAGAGGATAATCTATAGAAAGACAGATTGCCAACTTTCCTTCAGTGTCTGGTCGTACAACTCTGGTGAATCCTAAAAGTTGTTCCCTCTTCTATGAGGTGTGAACGAGCACAATACGCAGTGCCTCAGATGTAGCGACCTAGGCTAAAACAGTTGTTTTTAACAGACTGACCTAAAAGGAGTTGCTGGTTATGAGAGCGATGGTTGTAATTTGCGCAGACACCTAACTGAGAAACCGTGGGATTAGGGGATGTAAGCTCCCATAAGATAGCCATGGATGTTGCTACTTCCGTACAGCGTTAAGACTAGGAAAAACAGTGTCAATTCTATGAGCGCGTTGGGATTCACACAGTAATTGGTTCCCGATGTGCAGTAGCACTAGGGCAGGTAGCAAGTGGATTTATCAATGGCAAACTGTTACCGAAAGAAAAGAACCTAGGCCATCAGTGGTGAATAAGCAATAAGTTGTTATCAGTTGGCTTCAAGTAGATATTTATTTGAGTTAACTTGTACCAGCTAGTACCACACCATGTGTGAAAATGAACATAAATTTCTTGATGGATTCAGTTCCGAAAACAGTACTGTTGAGTTGAAGCCAGGTCTTAGATGTTTTCGTTCTCCTTGCATGACGTCGTTGGTTAATTGGAACTGTTTGATATATTTGTTTGTTTCGACTGGACTTATTGGTTGTACGTTCACTTGCCGGGTGTTTTGATTTGTCGCGTAGATATTTGGCGTTTGGCGTCTTTTCCTGGTTAGTTGGATTAACTTGGCACATTCAACTGGTCTATACACAACTTCGGAACGATGACTGACGATATAGACGTTGAGGCCATGCTAGAGGATCATTATGCTCGAGAGGTAAGTCTCACTCGTCCACAGTTTAGGGTCCCTTGGCTTGTATATGATCATGTAATCTGATCTTGACAGAAGTTCTTTATGTTTTGTTAGGATACTCTGGGTCTACGATCCTCGTTGACGTCGTTGTGGACGTCTGGCCCTTTCCCACAGCTGTAGTTATCAATTGATTATTTCGGTATGTTTTACGAAAGTATTTATTTTGCTGCCTGTCTTTTTTGTCCCTCTCCACCTCCTGAATCTGCTAATGTTGTCGCTCAATAGGGATATTCAAGATCAAATGGTCATCGGAGGCGTGGTCGGTCGCGCTCAAGAGATCGTAGTAGGAGGTAGGCTAATTCGTGATCATGACATGTTACCTTTTGCAGACACCGCTCGCGAAGCAGAAGCAGAGAACGTCGCCGGGATAAGAACTACGAGCCTGATCGTGGACGGCATGAGCGACGTCACAGTTCACGTGACCGTGATCGGCACCGTTCGAGTAGGGATGCAGAGCACAAATCCTCGCGAAGTGAGAAACGTCACAAATCGTAAGTTCCTTTTGGTAAAATTTATTTCTGTATTCAGCCCTGAACTCACTCCAGAAGAGCGTGATGCTAGAACAGTGTTTGTATGGCAGCTCTCTGCCCGCATTCGGCAGCGAGACTTAGAAGACTTTTTACATCCGTTGGCAAAATCAGAGACGTTCGCTTGATAATGGATAACAAGACAAAGCGATCCAAGGGTATAGCCTATGTTGAGTTTCGTGAGGTAGAGTCAGCACAGTTAGCTCTTGGACTCACTGGTACTCGTCTCCTTGGCGTTCCAATCCAAATTCAACAGAGTCATGCCGAGAAGAATCGAGTAAATGCTACTCCTTCACTACCTCGCCCGTCTCAACAAAACAAAGGTCCTATGAAATTGTATATAGGTTCATTGCACTATAATATCACAGAGGAAATGTTGAAAGGTATCTTCGAACCATTTGGAAAGATAGAAGACATCAAACTAATTAAAGACCCGGCTACAAACCGTTCTCAAGGCTATGGTTTCGTAACATACGTCAACAGTGATGATGCAAAGAAAGCGTTAGATCAGCTTAATGGATTTGAGTTGGCTGGGCGACCGATGAAGGTAAGATTCGAATTCCAAAATTTTACAAATTTAGGTGAACCACGTTACTGAACGCAGTGAGTATGCCTGCCTAAGCGCTCTGGACAATGATGATGCTGATCGCTCGGGCGTGGATCTTGGAACAACTGGGCGGTTAGCTCTTATGGCGAAACTCGCCGAAGGCACAGGCTTAGAAATTCCAAAGGCAGCTCTGGCTCAACTTCACATTGGACAAAATAACCCCATTCTGGGATCAGCTGGAAGTGTCAGCTCGTCATCTGCGATTGCTCCCCCCGTTTGCACTCAGTGTTTTATGCTATCTAACATGTTTGATCCACATGTGGCCACCCATTCAGTCTTTGAGGAAATACGTGACGATGTTGTAGAGGAGTGCACTAAAGTTGGTGGGTGTCTTCATATATTCGTGGATCGCACTAGTGCTCAGGTAATGTTTACGTTAAGTGTCCCAGCATTGCAGTTGCTTCTCAATGTGTTAACATGTTACATGGTCGCTATTTTTCTGGTCGTCTGATAACTGCAGCATATGTTCCTCTTATAAATTACCACCAATTGTTTCCAGATTCAGTGACTGCAAAAACACTATTGCATCCTTCAAACTGAAAAGATACTTGTAAATAGTCTATTTGTCTTTTGACTACTGCATTTGTCAATACATACGCATAACCAAGTGTTCTCTCTTAGTGAACTCAACAAGCCAGTTTCCGAAAATATGCTTTATGAGGGTTGCTTTGGTACTTATTTGATTTCAACTTCGATCATGCAAGTAAATGTATGTTATGGTGCACTGGTGAACTGTTATAAACGATTTGTCAGATTGAGTTAAATAGTGCAGTATACATAGACGGTAGGTTTCCGGCATTTAGACCGAGTAGCACAACATATACCAAGTTTAAAATAGCTCACGGATTCATCCCGTACTTAACCAGTCATGATCAGTCTAGCATAGCTGTGAGTCCGTTACAATCAAGGTTTATCGCAATGGTTAGAGAAGACTACAATGAGTAGCTGGCAACTGGTATCGGTGTCGTACTGAACAGTCGCTTCGGGTGCTGACTACGGGCCAGCAAGTTGGTTTGCTTGAGCAGATTAGTGTATCTTCAAGCTGGACCAGTTGGGAGCGTTGGCATGGCAATTACCACAGAATTCACTGTTAGATACCTTAATCTGAAAGGGAATTTTACGGAACTGGCGTTCGTCATCAAACATAAGTCGTTGCCTGAAATAGGGGCAGTCCTGTACATCATTCGCATTGTCATCGGGTGCAAGACATCTTATGATGTACACTTAACGGTTTCGAATAGGGTCTATAGTTTATTTGCAGAGTTGCATTCGGGAAGTGGTAGCGTGTAATAATCAGGCTAGAGTCCACTTAGAATGGCCTACCGGTGTATATCTCTATCCACCCTTGTCCTTTATCGACTATAATTTGTATTTGATGAGTAACCAGTGACATACTTGTTGTTTTGGTTGTCTTTGCTTGCTTTTAAACTGACTGGTGGTTGGTATGAAATTGGCTTCTCAGTGGTTAGTACACCATTCGTGATCGTCAAGCGTGTGTCGTTATCAGTTTCTCCAAATATTTGTTAAGGTAATGAATAATTCACGCTGAATTGGGCTGGTAGTTGAGTAAGGATTCGGCTGGTTTATTTACGAAAGCTACTCATGAGGGAAGACCTTACTCAGTCATAGGACAGTAGCAGGGAAATAAGTTGGTATAGAACGAGAGGAGTTACACCTCATTTGTCTGAGGATTTAACTTCCAGCCAGTGGTTTTGGACCCTGCTTAAACAACTTGGTCTTTAGCGCCCCTTACAAACCGCATGATCTGCAATTCACTGCACCACCACAAAGCTGTTGGACCACATCCTATGTTGGCCAGTTCAAACAAGGAAATAAGCTCTAAGTTGAGCGATTTGGAATGTAAAGAACGTGACTGGTAACCGCTACGCGGTGGGGCTTGCATGTCACGTCCCAGCGAGCTATGCAGATGGGACACATGTTCCCTCGATTTCCTACAATACCAGGAAGGTTTGTTGAATAATGTTTAGACGAAAAACTTACCGTTGTACTGTCCATTAGTACACTATGATGGGAGTTCGAGGGCGAATCCGTACTCCTTTTCGCTGAATGGGGTGTAACAGCATGCTTAGCTAACCAGCAGTACCACGCTGATGCTACCTTCTCAGTAGAAAGGGGGTTTGGGAAAGGGCCGGCCGCCATAATAACACTCAACTATGCCTCACGAGGGGCATTTGATGTGGAATCTATACATAAACTACAGGGGACTTCATGTATGACACCATTTCAGAAATGGTGAGATCAAAGCTTTTGAGAAATACCAAACGGATACTCTGTTGGATCTGAATACTGAGTGAGTCGATGTCACGAGCTCCATAGAAGGCTATGAACTTAAGAGAACGCATAAAGGAAATGAGATGATGCAGGGTAATCCGGGAATGAGGTTCAAAATGTGGGGTCGAAAATACACCGGGGTAAATGTCGCAAAACCCCTCATTTGACCGCACATTTTTAAAGCAGTTTTACCCCATAGTTCATCGTTTTAAACCACAAGAATTTTGACTGGGATATTCACCCAGCAGAACACGGAGAATACTTATTCCAGACAGAAATTTCTCAATTAGGTTTACTTGGAAACACGTACTTAGCTATCGGTCTAGTATTCGGATATGAGAACACTTAGACAATAGGAAAATCAACTATGTAACAAAGTGTAATTCATTTCAGATAACACTCAGATCAGTACAATAAGTTACACCTGCTTTATGAGAGTAAATGGTGTAACCTGGCTCCGCAAAACCCGATATACTGACGGGAGCATGAGCCCATAGCAACTCAGTGGCAATGTAGACTGAACACTGATCTGAAAAATGGAGTAACACTATCCAGTCAACTTGAAGGTAATACTAAAACATGATTGAAAAAGTTTAATACTAGTTAACACTGGTTAATTACGCATTTACAGTTCTCTAAATGAATGACAGTCGGTAATACTTGTTGTCAATCTATGCTTCGAAAAAGGAAGCTGATACAATAGAACGAATCCCGAGGGTTTCTACTAAACCAGTGATGGGTCTCACCCACCTTTCTGATGAGAAGTGATAAACATGAATATACCTTCTATTATCGTAAAGAAAGAAATGAAGTGGTTTACCCACTTAACACTTCGAATAGTGATCTACGTAGTAATTCATCTGATTCCTTCATCCTCTTTAAGACTGATCACCCTGGATGCCATCCAAAAAAGGCTTAGGGACCACTGCTGAATCATATTCGAGTAGAGTGACTGAATTCCTATCGGGTACTCTATGAGATAATTAGTCATTTATCACGTGGTCAATGATTGGAACTCGCTACCAGGAAGTGATTAAAACTTTCTCGGTTATCACATCCATTTACGGATCTCTAAATGGATGACTGGGGAAAGGTCAAGAACGACTAATGAGACCGTAGGGGAGAAGAATGTATCTGCTATTCACTCGCAGAGGAGACGATGGGTTGAACACTTGGAGGAACAGTTTAACTTGGCTCCAGCCACCATTGCGTTGCCTGCTATCCAGTTGGATCCTGAATGGAACATTGAGATTAGGCCCCTCAATACTTGCAGAAGTGGAGAAAGCTGTAGGTAACTTGAGACGTGGAAGAACAGACGGATTAACTTCTGAAGTATTCAGGGATGGCGGTAGAGTGCTCTTAGTTAGGTTAACGGAGGTGTTAACTAGTATATGGGAATCAAATATGATTCCCTGTGACTGGTCTAAACCACTGATTATTCCAGTCTTC